GTAGGTTTAACCAAATAACTCACAGTCTGTAGTGTTTACAGAAAGATTTGGCCAAGAATTATTTTAATGCATTGAGTTTCGTCCCGTTACTTTTCTCTTTTGGGAGAGAAGAGGGCACCTGAAGCTCATTGTACTCTTCTGATGTCATTTCACAGCGCAGGGCACTTTTGGTACAGGCGTGTGTAGTACGAATGGGCTAGAGGTCTGCACTTGAAACAGAAACTCCTGCAGATTACACGTTGTACATTGTCCAGCACATCTGCTCTGTTCCTGCGCTCTGCGCCCCATCACAACTTTTCAGAAATGGCAATAAAGCTTCAGAAAGAGAAAAAGAGCAGTCATCTTTTATAGGCAATGCACATCTGTTTGCCATGGCAATGCCGCGGGATTGTGAACAGAAGTGATTTTATTTGGTTTTCTCATTGTTTTCAGGACTTTAGAAAAGATCGAGATTATCTTCTTTGTGTTCCAGTATAAACTACTGAGTTTCCGTACGGCTGGCTTTCTGCGTGAGCTACTTACGGAGCAGATACAGATTTCATCGCTGTACTGCAGTCAGATACAAACTCTGGAAGGAGATGGTCCCGTACCTTAATGGAAATAATGGCATTTGCTGAGAAATGCAGCCATCTAGTGGCACAGCTAGCAAGCTGTGGTAGAAAGCACAGCGAACGGCGAAGTCTCCGAGGCAGGCGTTCTCCGAGAGGCCGGGAGGCTGAGTCAGGTAGCTCTGGCTGAAACCCCAGTCTTCATCAACCTTGGAGAGTCCAGGTGTAGGTGCTTTTGTTGTTTTCTGAAGCTGTGCAAAATAATTTCAAACAGTTACACCTGGAACAAAACAAACCAATCTTGAGGCTGGCCCTGATTCATCTGCCCGTTTCTGCTCAGAAACGCAATCAGCAAGAATTAAATCCGTATTTAAATGCTCTGCTGAACTGGATCTTAGAGAGGGCGGCAGAGCAAGCTACTTTTCTGGAACAGTAAGAGGTAGACAGCCCTGGCCTGTCTCTGGATGCACTCATGCAGATGACACTGACCACAGCAAGACACGGGCGTGCAAGTCAACAGGCCTGGGGCACGTGTCGCTCCTGGAGACTTCCAGGCAGAGCCGTACTTGGCAGGCAAAAGCTGACTTGACGGACACTTCTGTGCTCAGAGTTTTTATTTTCTGTAGTGGGTAGAGTTTTGTTTCTGCCGCCACAGCAGGTACACCAGCCCAATCCATTTACTGAAAGAAAACAGGGTGAGTTAAAAGTTTTGGTGGAAATGTGGTTTGGCAGTTCTGTTGATTTTTCAGGCTGGAGGATGTGTTTTTAAAGGCCTGGTTTTGTCAACTGTGTTTGTGTTGAGTGGCACTGAAGTAAGGCTTCCCCGATCCGGGAAAGCGTTAACCAATGTGGACCGCACAAGTGGTGCCGTGCAGGAGCTTATCCAGGATCCATTCAGCAGCCATATCCCCAAGACCTGATCCGAAGCCTGCTGACGTCAGTAGAAACAAATTCATGGCCCTTAGTGGACTTCCAGTGAACTCTCTAATTTGAGCCCCGTTATGGCTTTGGAGCAGAGACAATCTTCTCGCTCTTTTAGTACCGCAGGATCCCGGTTCACACCTGGGCCTCCGGTGCCGTTCCAGTGCAAAGTTACCATAAGGCTGATGACGATGTTACGCTTCTGTTAAGCTGTAATCTCTCTTCTACTCCAACAGCACATAAACAATGACCATATACACGGTGAGAAGAAGGAGTTCGTGTGCCGGTGGCTGGACTGTTCCCGGGAGCAGAAACCCTTCAAAGCCCAGTATATGCTGGTGGTCCACATGAGGAGACATACAGGGGAAAAGCCACACAAATGCACTGTGAGTAAAGGGGGCTGAGCTCCGGGCTCGGAGGGGGGAGCTGGGGCTGGGCAGGGAACAGAGCGGCGCAGGAGCTGCGTTCCCTGATCTCTCGTCTGTCAGATATTTGTTGGAGAAGAGGCTGTGGTGTCTGCTTCGTTACCCAGCTCATCCAGACGACAAGAGCTTTAGGAGAGGGGATTCACTGTGTAATTTCGCCCTCTTCCTCAAGTTTAAAGTGCAGAGAAGCCCCAAAAGGCATTATTAAACAGGGCTCAGTTTGCTTATTTATTTAAAAGCACTTTCTCTTACAGAGCTACATCTGGGTATTATTGCTGGCCACCAGCCTCCTAAAGACTTTGCAATGGATTTCTGCCTTAGACGAAGTACACAAATACTGTGCTCTCCTTAAGAGAAGGTGTAAATGCTGGAAGCATTTTAACTGTGATGGGGTTTGCCTGGGTAAAATTAAAATCCAACAAATCAAAAGAAAATTACATTGGGCAAGGTTATAAAGGCTTGGAAAGCTTCTAAACTTTTATAGGTCAGCTTCTACCATTTCCTTCTAGTCCAAAGATGAAGATTAATCCAGACTTACTTCTTTGTCTGCAGTTTGAAGGTTGTACAAAGGCCTACTCCAGACTAGAAAACTTGAAAACGCACTTGAGATCTCACACTGGAGAGAAACCTTATGTGTGCGAACACGAAGGCTGCAACAAAGCTTTCTCCAACGCGTCTGACAGGGCCAAGCACCAAAACAGGACTCACTCCAATGAGGTAAGCAAGCACAGGTTGAAAAAAATAGTAAAATCCAGGGTCGAACAGACTTACAATGTGATCGTAACAATTTATTGCGGAGGACAGGCACAGAAGCCCTCAGCAGTCTGAAGAGGGTGAGTTCTAGACGGTCCTCACGAGCACAGCCCTTCCAGCGCCATACGAGCCTGAAGAGGCTGTGGGTCGCTCTATCAAGCGTGAGGTTTGAAGGAGGGGTCTAATGGAAACGTGGCGGGGAAGCATCCGGGCGCTGGGGAACCGGGGTTGCCCCACCAGTTCCGAGCTACGCCTTCTCCTCCTTCTTCTGCGGGCTGTTGCACTCTTTCTCTCCGCCCCGAACAGGCCTCGTGGGGCAGGGATGCCGTGGAGGGAATTTGGTCTTGCTCCAGCAAACTAGCTGTGGCAGTCCCAGCCGTCTCACGAACTCTCCACATGTAACACCTCTGTTGCTGCGTGTTTCGTGTTACTGCGGCCCCCTCCTTCAGGAATCGCACTGTCTTGGTGCCTTGTCCCTGTTTTATTGCCCCATTTCAGGTTACACAGGGAGTCACATCACGCCAATCTCATATCTTGGCGCCCAGTTACTCCTCCTTGACCTGTCCCTGTTCTTCTTCACCTTTAGCCTAAACCTGGAAGTACTGGAAGGGCAGGACATGCCTGCGCGGTGACTGTGTGGTGTGGAAACCGTAGCAGCTATATCCATTTCCACAAGGCTTGTACCCTTCTCTAGCTGTCTGTCAGGTCTGTTGCAGACGCTCACTAGGGCTGGCAGACCCTCCTGGGGACGTTCATCTACTTCAGTCCCCTGGTCCCTGCAGCACCTCTTGAGTCACAAGGGAGGCAGAGCACGTTGGACATCTCTGAGTTTGCCCTGTCCCTGCAGTGCGTGCTCTCAGCAGCCCAGCTAACTGCTGCGCTGAAGGCCAGCAGCAACTTTGTGAATTGTCACTAAGGTAGAAGGGAGTTCACGAAGTCTCACCAATAGCTGACTGAGCTTTTTTTTCACTCACTGTCGAAATCAATCTGTTTGTTGCCTAGTTGATGAGTAAGATCCTCTCAAACTTAAAGACATGACCCATCTTGCCCGTGCTTTAAGATCAGGATTTCATGTCTGACAGTAGGTCACCAAGAAGAATTTTCTGCTATGCGTCATGTCAGTTAGGTGCAGCAGCAGGGGCAAATAAAAAATTCCCTTCACCATTATTTCACAGTGAAACAGGCTGATATTCTTGGGCAGTGTATACTGATGGAGTGCCATGAATATTGTGGGAAACGCAGACCTAATTCAGCACTTCCTCACAGTGCCATTTTGGTTGGAAGCAGGTAACCTATAGGCAGATTTAAAAGCAGCCGACAAAGCTTGATGCAGATGCCTTACCCATGTAAAAGAGAGCTAACTGACTCGTACTTCCATAGTATCTTGGGAAACCCTGCCTCAGGAGCTCAGCATCAGCTTTAAATTGCTCATGATTGATGTTTTTGCTCCTGTTCAACTCAATGGGAGTTTTTGATGTCAGTGGAAGCGGGCTGAGGCCTTAGATAGCCGTGGAGAAGCTACGTGTGTCAGAGGCTCCACAGTGCCGCGTGTAAACAGGCAGAGAACCCCTTGGAGGAACTCTGAATGATGGTCTTTTCTTGTTTTCTTGAGGGCTAGTATAAATAAGGCTTCAAAATTGTAGTTTCTTGGAAACAATTCAGTAATAAAAGCGAATGATACTTTTTCTGAAGCAATTAAAGTGTTCAGGAAGGGCTCAGCTCTTCTTTTGAATCCTTTCATAATGCAAGAACAAAGTCATTGTTCGATTATAAGACAGTAGATTTACTTTATTCTGTGTTGCTTAGTGAAGTAGAGAAATTCACAGGCAAAGGAAGCTTGTTTTAAAAGAATGAGTGATTAGTTAAGCCAGTAGCACTAATGGTACTAGAGCATACCTTGCTGCAACGTGAAAATTCTTATGGTACTGTAGCCTGTGCTTTGACATTATCCTGATGATCTGAAGGAGCCAGGGAAAAAAACCCTTCCTCGGATGATCCTGCCTGAACAAGTGTCCCAACATGTTTCGAAGGGGATTGTTTGCCTCTGAATGTCAAGGAGTAAGTACAGGGCATACCAGAAACGGTATCAGACTGCTGAGGGCTATGAACAGGATAGAAAATTTGGCCAGTCTTCATCAATTGCCATAGCTCTTTTGGCTCTTCTGCTATGATAAGTGAAAGCCATGCCAGTTCTCATGATGAGAGCCTCTGCCCTCTGTAAAATATGCAGCATTAACAGGTACCTTTAAAACCAAGGGGAGTTAATAGGTTTGACTAGGTGCAGTCTCTGCAGAGACCATAAATTAGATAACAAATTCACTGTGAAAGCGTATAACCGTAATGCCAGCTGTGCTCCAAGGAGCTATTCAGGAGTCCCACGTGGAGTTAAATCTGATTTAAGTGTTTTTCCTGTCTTGGCAGAAACCATATGTTTGCAAGATACCGGGCTGCACAAAGCGCTACACAGACCCCAGCTCTCTCCGGAAACATGTGAAGACCGTGCACGGCCCGGAGGCGCATGTCACCAAGAAGCAGCGGGGAGATATCCACCCGAGGCCTCCGCCACCGAGAGACCCAGGCAGCCACTCACAGACCCGGTCACCAGGCCATCAGACTCAGGGTGCAATTGGTGAGCAGAAGGACCTCAGCAACTCTACCTCAAAGCGTGAAGAATGCCTCCAAGTGAAAGCAGTCAAGTCGGAAAAACCAATGGTATGCAATACTCCCTGCCGCTCCCTTGGTCCTTTTTCTGCTTGCAACTGGTTAATAATCCCCTTATGAAACACTCAGGCCCATAAACTCTATCTCACAAGGTTAGGTTTTGTGAGGTCTTCTTTTTCGTTTACATTGCAAAATGTTTTTAAAGCCTAAGAAAGAGCAAATAAAAAGATGACATCTAGTCTGTGTGATATGCAGTAAGTGCAGTGTTGGCAACTCTCGCAATAATTGTTTCCCTTAAAGCTGCATCTTTTGGAATCAGCATATTATGAGAAAAATCACAGCTTTCATTTTTAAAAAGACATTTTTTTTCCACTCTCCTGTTTACAGAAAAAAGTTAATGTGAATCCTGCAGGCTCAAAACGAGTGCGAAAAAACCCAAGTCCAAAAGACTAAAATGGTGATATTGATGATGATAATTTCTGGAGAACCCGGGGAAGCGATCAGATTTTAGGGGCTTGAGGTTGTCGGGTCATGAATCGAACTGAAGCAGGATACATTGACTTTCTTAAACATCAGGAGGAGATCTTTTGATAACACTTGATCTCTGTTGTGATATGACCTCTTATGTTAATCTCATAATTTAACTTGACCAAGTTAGCCTAATTCCAATTTAACTAAATTGAGCTGAATTAGCCATCTCTGCAGGTCTTTTCACTGGTTAACCTTAATGTATTGCAATAAACCCAGTGTCGCCTTGCATGCTCAAAGGACCTTATTTCATTTTTTGACATGCTATTTTAAATAAAGAAGTTCTTCCATTGGCCTGCGTTTCCTGTGCCATCCATCCTCTCCACAGGGTTAAAACTAGCAAAGGCAGTCACTCCAGCCTCTTCCACATCTGGGTCTACAGTTCATCTGGCTCCAGCCCTTGGGGACTGCAAATTGGAGCCCTCTAAGTTCTGCTCACGTTGTTAGTCATGCTGCAATTCAAAATGTTTACTCATTGAAATACAAGTTACTGCTATATCGCACCTAAGGCTTATGCCCAAACTGTGGAGTATTAATCCTGAATTCAGAAACTTCCAAGGGCCCAGAGTTAACTCCCACTGAAGTCTAAAGGAGATCCTCTGCTGTCTTTGGTGATTACGAAGCAACAAAACCCATTCCTCTCTTGCTTAGCTAGGCATATCTTTAGCATTACTGAGGCATGTTGAGCATAGGCAGTCTTAACATGAATAAAATTTGCAGGAGAGGGGTATTAATGGTGATTGTTTACATAGATATAAATATTTCTCACTGAAAAATATCTTCTAAAAACAATTCTGTAATTCCTGCTTTTCATTGCTTGTATGAATGAAGATTTATTTTCTGTTTTTCAACTAATCCAATGTCTTTTCTGTCTAATGCTCTTAAATGTCTTGTTCTAACTTCCTAAGGACAGTGGGTAATAAGGTGAGGGCATTTTAACTTTTCTGCTGTTTTTCTTATTGCAACATTATTTATGTCTTTATTTCAGCCTTCTGCTTGTTGTCCAGTCATTCCTTTATTTAGTAATGTGCAATCCATCAAAGTCATTCCCAAATGTAATGTGCTGTGAGCATTTTGCAACACTCGACATGTGAAAAATCTGGCTTACGTTGGTGAAATGTCTTCAGAATTGTCTTTGTACCTTCCCCTCTAGATGAGACATCCATACTGTGATCTTGACTCGTGGCTACAAGAACAGGCTTCTGACCGTTATCACTCCTCTTCTATATGGCATGGAGCTGTTGTCCAGCAGCACAAACTCTCTTCTGTTTAATAACAGTTATTTCTATTCTTGTTACCAAATCTGCCATGGCCAGGATTTGGAAATGAACTTGCTCAGTGTGGCCTCATAAATTCTAAGTATCATCGTTCAGTTAGAAATAATAAATTAGTTATTGCATCTTAATGGACTCCTCAGGGGTGCATGAAGCTACAGTAGCGCCACGAATCTGTGTCTTCATTCACTGATGTTAAATGCAAGAGCCGTCACGGCTACCTCAGAAATTCTAGCTAGCATTTGTCAGTAAAATGTGCATAAAAATCACAGGCTGGCAAAGTTTAAAAAACACAGCAGGAACCCCCAAAGTGAAAATCTTACATGAAACTGTTCTTGGGAGCAAAATGATACCGCATGCCCCACTGATTTGTGATCACACAGGTACAACCTAGAGTGAGATACTACGTCCAGAGACTTCTGTCTGTCTTGCTGTCTGTTTTGTCCGTCAGTCTGTCTGCCTGAGTGTTTCAGTTTGTCAGAGCAATTTTCCCATTCTTTTACAAGAACTTTATGAGTGTTAAAAATAAACCAAGCCCATGTTTCCCCTCAGCAAGAAGTCTGCTAGAGCAGCAGGGAACGCTGTCTGTTGAGAAAGAAGCAGCTATTGTGGTGGGTTTCTATCCCCGTAGATTAGCAGCCCGCACTGCGTACTTAAATTCTTAAAATCTTAGATTTTAATGATACGAAGGATCTGATTCAGTGGATAATTGACTTCTTAATTCAGGGCAGAGATGGTCTAAGTTAGGTGTAAGAGGAGGTGTGAGTTAGACCCTAGTGCTGCTTGGGTCACAGGACGCTGAGAACACGATACAGTATTTTTTGCACTGGTGCTTTGTCCCTGTTTTATTACACGCCAGCATTTCTGGCCAACCGCTGCTCGTAACAATGAGCCTTAAGCTTGGAAAATACTTACATTCTTTAGCCACAAATCTAATTAAAAAAACCCCGCAAATTCCAGTGTTGTTGGAGACTTGTTTGTTTGTTTGCTTGCTGCAAGCCTAGCAGCGTAAATGAGACCTCATCACACGGCTGGATTCTGCTTTGGTTTATGGAGCTGCCGCTTCAGTTAGGAACGGCGCGCGCCCAAAGTAGAGTATCCAGACATACGTGCTCACGAATGACGTGAAGTGATAGCAGCAATCGTGGGGAATTACTGAAATAAATGTCTCGCGTAGATGTAATGTATACTATCAGCAAGATATTAACGTGGATTTTAATCTCGAGGTTTGCAATGGCATTTACTGTAGTCAGAATCAGTGTCTGCAAAGCCTCCTAATGAGCGATCGCTGTCATCATTTAATGCTAAATTTTTCCTTACATTTGGTCTTCTTTGGCTCCATTTAGACGCGCATTTGCTGCAAATGCTCTTGTTGACAGTGTTTGCTTAATCCTCACGCTCCTCTGTTTCTTACTTCCCTCCCACAGACATCTCAGCCAAGCCCTGGTGGTCAGTCTACGTGCAGCAGCGAGCAGTCCCCCATCAGCAACTATTCCAACCATGGGATCGAGCTTACTCTGACAGGTGGTGGCAGTGTAGGAGACCTCAGTGTCATCGATGAAACCCCAATCATGGACTCTACCATTTCCACAGCCACTACAGCACTTGGCTTGCAGGCCAGGAGGAATATGACAGGGACCAAATGGATGGAGCAAGTGAAATTAGAAAGGTTGAAACAAGTTAATGGGATGCTTCCAAGACTGAACCCCGTTCCACCTTCCAAAGCCCCGACCTTGCCGCCTCTCATAGGAAATGGTGAGATACACATAGCGGGAGTGGTAACGCTTTTTGTCCTTACATTCGTTGCTTGCTAGTGCTGTCTTGCAACCCCTGCAGAACAGTAGTGCAACTTATGAAACTCAGCAGCTGTGAGAATGGTTCGTAAATGGTTCGCTTTTTGTTTATCCCCTCATATTACAAGTCCTACTCCCCACCCTGAGAGAAATCAGGTTGTCCCACGTTTTACAGAATGAGGGCCAGCAGGGGAACTGTGCATCATGTTTGAAATATGCCCTGCAGTTAAAGGTTTGGACCCAAGATCATCGTAATCCTGGTTTGTTTTGAGGCAAGGCAGATGAAATAAATACCTGCCAGTTTACTGTATGGAAGTTTTTCAGATGAGGCCTTAGCAAGGCACCCTGTGCATAGATGTGTTGGGCTGCCCTTTAAATAAACTGTTGCCACACATGTGAGTAATCATATGTCCAGATACTACTGCTACCGAGAGCAGGTATCCATGAGCGGGAGCAAGGTGAGGTTGAACTCTGAAGAGCCATGGTTGTTTTCAGACAAGGAGCTGCTCACTGCCAAAATGGATGCCCCTGCTGCCTCTGCACGGCCTACAGTGTGCCCGTGGGTCTCTGCTCTCCACCCAGCAGGGACAGCCCCAGGTTTCCTGAAACCCGTTCAATTGAATGAAACTATGTAAAATTAAGAAATGTATTCTGTTTACTTAAAAACAAAACAAGGAAACCAGCAAAGATGTTTTGCAGTTGTTAGGAGTTATTTCAAGAAGTCTCAGAAATGACCTTGAATAGCCTCCAGTTTGTATATTTTGCCATTCCACACAAATGCCTGTTTAATTATATTTTGCCTGTAAAAAGCTCCCTTACAAATGTGTCCTTCTGGCACATCAGGCAGCATCGCTGCGCCACAGGCCAGAGGACTGCACCAGCTGATGACAGTTTGTGGCGATGGCCTATAAATTTTGTGCTGGGATTCACACTGAAATGTTACCCTTGAGTCTCCGAATTAGCTTTTAACCTAAGGACATGGTTTTTATCCCTGCTTCTTTCGATGGAGAGCACTGCCATGCTGTGCTGTGAAAAGGAAGGCTTTTCCTCTGTACTCCCCTTCCTTCTTTACGGGGTGTCCTCTGTACCAGTTTCCGGGCGATGCCGGTTTAACTGTGAATTCTGCCTGCAGGTACCCAGTCGAGCAGCAGCTGCGGTGTAGGAGGATCCATGCCTATTCTGCCAAACAGGAACGAACTTTCGAGTACGGACATCACTGTGTTGAACATGCTGAACAGGAGGGACAGCAACACTAGCACAATCAGTTCAGCCTACCTGAGCAGCCGCAGGTCCTCTGGAATCTCGCCTTGCTTCTCCAGCCGGAGGTCCAGCGACGCCTCCCAGGCGGAGGGAAGACCGCAGAACGTGAGCGTTGCAGACTCCTATGACCCCATCTCGACGGATGCCTCCCGGCGCTCCAGTGAAGCGAGCCAGTGTGACGACCTGCCAAGTCTTCTCAGCCTCACCCCGGCCCAGCAGTACAGGCTGAAAGCTAAATATGCAGCAGCTACTGGTGGACCCCCACCAACCCCACTGCCTAACATGGAGAGGATGAGCCTCAAAACAAGGATGGCACTCTTGGGTGACTGCAGGGAGTCCGGAGTATCTCCACTGCCTCCAGTGAATGCCCCTCGACGATGTAGTGATGGTGGGGCAAATGGTTACAGCAGGAGGCATCTTCTGTCTCACGATGCTCTAGGGAGCGGGACGAGGAGAGCCAGCGATCCGATAAGAATGGCCTCCGACAACCCCTCTGTCCCTAGAGTCCAACGTTTCAACAGTCTTAATAGCTTTAACCCTCCTGCTTTACCTCCATCCATGGAAAAGCGCAACCTTGTTCTTCAGAACTACACCCGTTCTGAGGGTGGCGTCTTCCGCGGCTTCAGCTCCCCCTGTCCTCCAAGCATCAGCGAGAACGTCGCCCTGGAGGCTGCGACGATGGAAGCGGGTGGCAGTCTGAACGACGAGGATCTCCTGCCGGATGACGTGGTTCAGTATCTGAATTCCCAGAACCAGGGCATGTACGACCACTTGTTGAACAACGTCCTAGACAGCAGCAAAACGCATCACAGCTCGGTGTTGGGGAACAACAACCCCAGCAACTTTGACCAAGCCCCTCCACCGAGCGGTCAGCAGGCAGGCTCCGAGGCAAACAAGAGTGACTTGCCCATTCAGTGGAATGAAGTAAGCTCGGGAAGTTCTGACTTATCTCCTTCGAAGCTGAAATGCGGTCAGCGCTCGGCAGTGCACGAGGCTCGGGCCTTCGGACTGTATAACAACATGATGGTTCCGGCGGAGCCGGTAATCCCTTCGGCGTGCAGCCTGATAAGCCGTACAGCGAGAGTGTCAACAGGCAGGCGATGATGTCTGCGGCCATGGACAGTTCCTGTGGCGTGGCGGCGCAAGGGCAGAAGCTGAGAAGCGGCAACGTGCCAGTGAGTGGGAACCAGCAAAATTTCAGCCATCCCATGGCGTCCGGCGACCAAGGTGCCGCTATGGCAAACGGGATGCAGAACAGGAATATGATGGAACAGGAATATTTGCCAAACCAACCAGTCGGAGATGGCGTTCATTACGAAGGAGTCAATCAGTCCGGTCAAATGATGCTAGGGCAGGTTAGTCCTACCTCACAAAGCAGCCTGTATCAGGGGCCGCAGAGCTGCCCGCCGGTGTCTCACACCGTTGGTAGCCAGCCTTCAGGTTTGTTGGTGGCCAAAGGTTACCAGCCGTGCTCTAACTACAGCGGCAACAGGCGGCAGCATGTGGTAAGAAACAGCCTGGCACAACAGCAAGGACACGTAAGCGATGGCAACCAGATGTACAGGGTAAACACCATTAAGATGGAGATGCAAGGTCAATCACAGCAGTTCTGCTCTAACGTGCAGAATTACTCTGGTCAGTTGTATGACCAAACCACGGGCTTTCGCCACCAAGCTATGAAAACAGGTTCGTTCTTTGGTTCGGAAGCTAACTGCCTGCTGCAGGGGACTGCGACTGCAAACTCATCCGAGCTTCTTTCCCCAGGGGCTAACCAAGTGTCGAGCACGGTCGACAGCATTGACAGCAACAGCCTGGAGGGTGTGCAGATTGATTTCGATGCCATCATAGATGATGGGGACCACGTCAGCTTGATTTCAGGAGCCCTGAGCCCGAGTATCATTCAGAATCTCTCCCGCAATTCCTCACGCCTCACCACTCCCCGAGCGTCTCTTACATTCCCAGCTATGCCCGTAAGCACAACCAACATGGCGATCGGGGACATGAGCTCTTTGTTGACCTCACTTGCAGAAGAAAGCAAGTTTCTTGCTGTTATGCAATAGACATGGGGAAAAAAACCCACAAAAACCCTTAGGAGATAACAGATGAAAAAAAAGACTCATATTTTTTAGTTGTGTATGTATTTTAGCAATCTCATCTCACCTAAATGGGGTGTGTTTCAAGTATATTCCTTTTATGGAATACGGACTCTGAAAACCCTAAAGTGTTCTAGGGAGAAACTGTCTTCCATTTCAGTTTTGAATCAGTATTGCTAAACCCATTCCCCCCCTTGTCTCTCTCCCCCTTTTTGAATGTCTGTATGCTTCCTTTTTCTTTTTTTTTTTTTTTGATTGTAAACCAATGTAAACGTGTGAAGTGCATGTTTTTGTTTTGTTTCGGGTTTGTTGTTTTTTTTTTTTTTAAAGAAAGGTCTGATGAAAAGGCTTTGCAATTTTCTGTTACTCAAAAGAAACTAGACCTTGTAAAGCTGTTGCAGTTTTTCCCCCTGAACATAAAGGCACAAAATAACCAGGCACAACGTGCAGTGAGTGTATGGGGATGAAATCCTCTCTGGATGCGTGGATACCTTGCACTCAGGTGGACAACCAGTTTAGAAACGCACTGCCGTGGCACCCCTAGGCTGTAGTTTGAGAGTCATGGAGCGCAAGAAATTAGGAGGTTCAAGCAAGCAAGAAACGTAAAACCATCAAACCTTTGATCCCTAGTGAATGGTTAAGGTTTTTGTAGAGACACACAGGTAGCTCTCACTGCCTTGCAGAACGACCCTGAGATTGTGTCATGTTGAACCCATTGCAGAGGAAGGAGGGGACCAGAGAGCTATTCTTAGTCCAGCTCTGATCTTTTGCAGTATTTGGCATTCTGTTTTCAGCCTTCTTTTTTAAATAACTGGATAGTAGAATGATGTTTGGTGATTTGGGCAGTCTGTAATCCCTTCATTGTGTACCACGTTTGCGGAGAGATGATCACAGTCTTATGGAGTATTTCATACAATGAAATAACTATATTGCAGTATTCCATACTGGGGACTTTTTTAGATGCAAATAGTGGAGACATAATCTGCTGAGCCACTGGTTCTTACTCGCAGTAGCAATTCCTTTGCCAGGAGAACTGTCTTGTACATCCCGTTTAGCCCATACACTGCGTGGATGGATCGTATGTTTTAAAACAAATACCCACTGGCATAACACACAGTTACGGCTTCAGAAGCATCATGGTCATGGCATGTAAAACAAGTAGAAAACGAACAGCCCAGTTCTCAGGCTAGCCATATAAACCACAGTGGTTGCAAGCAATCTGATAAACGTTTCTCCACTGTAGCCAGGATTTGCAAAATTAAGAAATTTAAGCTGCCATTAAAAATAGCAAAGAAACGAGCGGAACAGCAAGTATGTATGGTAG